TGTAAGTGCCCTGCTGCGGCCGGGCCTCCCGACGCCCTGCCCGAGCCTCGGCCCGCTGCCCAAAGCTCTCCTCGCTGCCCTGGTGACAGCACCCCTTCCCGAGGGCCCCCAGTCGGGCGCTTCGTGCCGCGCCGTCTCAGCAACTCCGGTTTGCTCCGGGCTTCCTGTGCCCCCTGCAGCAACGGGCCAGCACGAGCCGCCTACCTCTTGGCTCCTGCGCCCTGGGGAAGCTGCTCCAAAGGGGTTTTGTCTGGAATCGGGGCCTGGCACAGGCCCCAGCAATGCCTGGGTCTGTGTGCTGGGAGCAGGGGCAGCAGTCAGCGGCTGTGAGTTTTTGACTTTGCTCCTACCCAAAACTGCAGTTGAGCGTTGCAGTGCCTCACTGAGAAGAGAAGCAGTACTCCTAGAGCTCAGCTGAAACCTGGTTTTTGTGCCGTGATTAAGGCACCTGGTTATGATCGTTTTTGCTGCTTTCCAGAGCTGCTGGCTCTCCTGCTGAGTGGCTCTTCCCTCCCCGCGATGCTTGGCACGGCCAAGGCTGTTTGCTGGGAGACCCGGTTTCTCTTTGGCAGGTTGAACACGACCGTGGCGCCCCTGTTCTTTGCAGACCAGTTCCTGCAGATCTCCACTTCCTTGCCATCTCATTTCATTACTGGGCTGGGAGAGCATCTGACATCGCTCATCCTTGACACGGCCTGGACCAAAATCACCCTGTGGAATCGGGACATGGCACCCGTGGTATGCAGCGAAGCTGAGGGAAAAAAGGAAATGACTGTATGTGGGGGGAGGGCCCCTGAGTCCCTTCCTGTTTCTTTACTTCCTTTTTGTCCAAGGCTAGGAAAATATGCGTATGTGTTTATTAAGCTTTAGGATCTGTCCCTGCCCAGAGCCAGCAGAGCAGTCAGTCTCAGCCCAGGGCAGGCCTCTGGGACCATTATCCCAAGACCTGGGGTTTGGCACCCTTGGGTTCCATGCTCTGCTGCTCAGGAACTGCCTTTTCCAGTGTGAGGGTACCCGGGCCGATAGTCTGCAGTTTTTGTTTGGGGTAGAGCTCTGCTGATTCAGGCAGCATTTGGACAGGTAAGCCCTAGGTTGGCATCCCAAGCCATCATGGTATTTCTGGCAGTAGACTAGGGACTGGTGTGTGTGTGTTATAGCCAGCAGGCATTAGGTGGGTGCTGTGCTGCTTCTGCTGAGCATCACTGGCATTGCGCTGTGCTGTGCTCCAGCCCCAGGTCAATCTCTACGGCTCCCACCCCTTCTACCTGGTGATGGAGGATGGAGGCTTGGCCCACGGAGTCTTTCTGCTGAACAGCAATGCCATGGGTGAGTCTTGCAAAAGCTCCACTGCTGGGGTGGAGGGATGGCCTGAGTGTTCCTTCTTACCTTGCTGATCTTGTGGTGCTTCCCCTCAGATGTGGTGCTGCAGCCGAGTCCAGCCTTGACTTGGCGAACGACAGGTGGGATTCTGGATTTCTATGTCTTCCTGGGCCCGGGCCCCCAGAGCCTCGTGCGGCCGTACCTGGATG